GATCTACTATAGTCAAGACTAACACACTTGTAGAGATTAGCTACGGTTTTAGTAAAACCAACTTCATATATTCATAATAGTAGGAATATAGATTTTTGCTTTCATCAGACGTGTGTATTTTTTGTATGTATGTTTCCATTATTTGTGCTTTCAATTTACTGTTTAATTGTATCAAACATGGTTTGCCAATTACATGTTTATTTACTTATTTTTCATCCATATGTTTCCTCCTTTTAGGTTTCCTTCTCCCCTCTATTTTTTTTCCCCATTGTTATTGTTATTATTATTATTTTTTTCTGAGCTGGGTCATTTCTTTTAAAGGACAAGAATGGTGATTAAGGGATTTGAGAGGAAAGGAAATAAAATTGTCCAGACTGCACCTCAGAATTAGGAAATCAGTTTATAACATTGTTAGTGGCACAAAAAATGACTGCCTAGGACTCTAGCTAGGTTGGTGGTATCATCTTTGAATCTCCATCATGCATGTCATGAAATAGATAAGATGGTGAACTTTTACTCTTTTAGTTATTCTGAAAAAGGGTTCTCAAAAGTTGGTATTATGCTTCCTGAATCCTGCTTGATGTGTGCAATTGCAGTAAATATTTCTTCTTAATATTCACTGCCGCCATCTCTGGTCTTCTATCTGCATGTTAAGTTTATCTCACTTTTTTAATTTGATTACCATGTCAGGTCTAACAATCTTGGCCAGATATCTAACTACATTTTTTCCTTTTATACAACATTAAATGACCTTTTGCTTGCTGGAGGTTCTATGTTTTCGTATGTTACTGCTAACCTGTGGGACACCTAATTGAGAATTGCATGTGCAGGTCCTCATGGACCACACTGATCAGAATCTTGAAGCAGTTCCACAGTCAACTATTACACCAAATTGGACAATCAATGTTTCTGATGTGAGGAACAAAGATATTAGAAATAAATTTCATTGGTGCTATTAACAACAGTGCTTCAACCATGATTGACTATTATATATAAGCATTTTTAGACTTCTAATGACTTTCCCTTTGGCTTTTGGTCAACAACAATAAACCAGTTAGATGGCAGCGGCAGAAGGTCATTAGTATTAAAGTAGTGAAGTCTTATTATTGGTTGTAGTAAAGATTTTGAATCCACTAGTGAAGACTCTGACCTCTGTCAATTTCAGGGACAAACATTTTCATATCAATCTGTCACATAAGGACAAATATTTTCTTATAAATCTGTCTCATAACCAGTTATCATGCCATTTGATTATTTGGTGGCAAGTTTTTTATGCAAAACTCTGTCATGCTGCCATTCCAGATTCATGGAACTCTATAGGTAGCATCTGTTAAACACGATGACACTCACATATGTTAATGTTCTGTAATCTAAAATATTTGATGGATCTGATAGATTTTGAGGCAGTATTTCATTGGTAGAAGTTCTTTACAAGTTTTAATTAACTGGCCTCCATCATCTGCTCTTATGCTCCCTACAGGTAAGAACAGTTAGGGTCAGCAATATATTTTTAGCTGTTTCCGAGAGGGATATCAAAGAATTCTTTTCCTTCTCTGGTGACATTCAATAAGTAGAAGTGCAAAGGTGGGCACTCTTAACTGTATGGAACTTGACTTATTTGGATGTGTCATCCTGAAGTTGTGTTGTGATAATTTGTGCAGGGAGACTGAGAACACTCAGCTTGCTTTTGTTACTTTCAAGGATTCACAAGGAGCAGATACAGCATCGCTTCTTACGGTGTGTTCATCTAGCATGTTGGGAGTCTTATTTTGAAAACTTTTCGTACTTAGTTCTTTTAAGAGCACTTCATGCTGACATATGAACTTTATTAGCTCTCATCATGTTAAACTAACAAATAAATGAAATGAGACATCAAAGTTTGCAAAGAGAATAAATTAATTTAGTGAAAAAAAAAATCCGAACAAATGAATAAAGCTTAAAATATATAAACCACATTTCCAGTCTAGGCACACCATCTGGAACAGTGCTCCTTCTAATATCTTCCTGAATTTATTGTTGGTCCAGGGAGCCACAATAGTTCATCTGTCTGTCACACTTTGCCTTTAATCATGTTAAATTGCTTTAACATCCATATTCCTGCATCTTGTGTCTTGCTGAATATGATGCTTCTAATTTTAACATGAAACATAATGTGCCATGCTGAACCATTAGTAAATGGGTGTAACATCATTCTTGCTTGTTGTTACCATGCTTCCATGGTTGTGGAAAAGCCAAATTTACTGTTTTATTTTGGTGATGATGTGATTTTTTCTTTTTCTATTTTATTTTATTTTTGGTCTAGATTTTAACTACATGCTT